AACCTCTCCAGATGCTCCAGTAATGAGCATCTCCGTATTTTAATGCAAACCTTGACATTCGCCACCTTAAGAACCACTTCTGACCTCCGTGCTTTCTTGCTGAAGCCGTGAGACTGTAGAGCCATGTACCGAGATTCTGTGATGGCGTGCCGGGCACGGTAAAGACGGCGCATACTCAATTGATCTCAAGAGCAGTCGACAAGCAGAACACACGGAACAGCATAATCGATATAATAAAGCACAAGAGTCGCAGATATACAGTGAAAGTCATGCAGAGCGACTCGAAGCCAGCGTCTGCACGAAACTCACTCGCGCATGTACGTCTTGATCACTCAAGCTCGTCATCGCACGGCGGACTTGTATGTGCGAGAGATACAACATGCAGCAAGCGTGCATCGCTGGCTCAGAGCCATCCCAGCAGAGAGCCTCGTAAACAGGATGCAAAGGAGGGAAGACAGAGTGGAGGGGATAAAGGTGGGATATCGAGAACGTCGAAGACGCGACACGACGGTGGCAGGCTCCAACGCTCGGAACTGTCCGACGCGTCTCTGCCAGTGCGTGATCGATGCGATCCTCACTCACCATGGCTGTCCTTGCCCCCTCGTACCAAATGCCTCTCTTCCACCGCGACCATAGCATCCCCATTGACTTTAGCGTCTCATCTGGTCCAGATGCATCATGGATCCTGTCGCATCTCACGGGTTCAATTGAGGACGGTCTAATGTACATAGATAAGTTGAATGTAACAACCTCTGTTAACAGAGTGCCACATTACCTATTAGAGTGCCATTCTCGAAGCAGACATGGCTTTGGCAACAGTGGAGCAGCTGTACACTCCCCGGCCATGTGTAAAATGTAAGCTATGCCTCATAAGAGTCATAGAGTACTACTCACTTGTCTTGTCGGTCTGAGCACGAGGACAGTCACCAGATACACCAAGTATGACTTGATACGAGGCCGAAAGCTTCAGACAGTCTACCGAGGGTGCTTGGACTTGGTGCAGACCCGTCCAGACAAGTCGTCCGGAGCCGTCCATTGGTCCCCGGTGGCTAGCCCTCTGGAAAATGATGGTGAGCACAACTCTTCCGTAACACCGGCTTGGATCTCGGAGGAAGATCTGGTCATCGCTCTCCAAGGTCAGGGTCTCCGGAGATCTGATCAGCTTGGTGCTGCTCCCTTGGCCCTTTCAGCAGCCACGTATTGGGCTCTCAGTAATGCTTCAAGTTACTCTTATAATCTGAGGAGGCTAAAATTCATTCTCACTCTGAACTCAACATAAGAGGAACAATACACCAAGAGCTGTAAATTGTCAGAAAATCGAAAGAAATAAGGATTTACATAACATTAGTCAAAGTGCTGTCAGAGTGGAAATCGGGTGTCCACCGTTGCATGCTTCCCAAAGAAATTGCAGCCGATATGCAGTCGCTTATCGGCTGTGACTTCTCTGGGAAGCATGTCACGACGGCCCTGAAGACCTCGGGCGCTACAACACCCATCACATATAACGCCTCTGAGGGAATTGGAACAAGGCTCGCTGCCCCCCTATGGCGAGACTATGCTCGTGTACTCTACCACCGCTTCTGTACCCTCCCGTCCCATGCAACATTTCTCTGGCAAGCTGCAGTTGACAGCACTAGATATGCCTACTGTAAGTGCCTGTCATAGCTTCCGAGAGCCGGTCCTCATTGCAACCACAGTGTCGCATTCACGCTCTGATCTGGAGTCATCGGGGTGCAAGAGTGTCGAGATCAAGTTATGTGGCGGTGCGATAACGTCTGAAGCGCGTGGCTGTGTTGCCCGAAATGTAAGTCAACGGCGTCGCGCATTGCGATCGCAGACCTCGCACTCACCTCTGCGTTGCCCCAGGCCTCAGAGCTACCCGTCCTCTAATTGCTGCTCTGAGCTGACGCGGACAGGACGAGAGATGGAGGAGAGGGGATATCTTGGACGGTACGGCGCGTTTGATTTCGATATTCCATTTGCCGCTCATGGACGAACAAGTAGACACTCGACGGGAAGCCATAGTCCTCGGAGAGCGGCTGGAAAAAGAGAATGAAGGGGAAGAGCTGCGCACAATCACACGGGCATGGCTGGTGAGTGAGTCAAGTCCATTTCCCTCCGTGATTCATAGCTGAATAATCCCAGAGATCCGCAATTGCGTTCCATCATATATACGCGTTCCGGCCTTATACGCGACACCTCCATCTCGACAACTTCCCAGCGCCCGCGCCTCTCGCCATATTTTGCCTTCTCCCACGTACGACAGGGCACCTGGAGCGGCGCGTCCGCGGTGTAGGAAGGCAGCGTAGATGGGATGGCAATACATGCGAGGTCGAATCGGTCGACGTTAGGTGGTCGACGGAGGGCGCGTATCGAAAAGGTGCGTCCTGGACTATTCGTTCGTCAATTCTCCTGCCCATGTGTCTCGTTTTGCCAGGATGTTCACGGCTACCCATGAATTCGCAGTTTGAACGCAGGAACACTGCAAGATCCAGATTCCCCCTCGA